TTTTTTGTTCTTCTTTCTCTAATTGCTTTAGGTGCAAGGTTAGGTTGTTTATTCAAGATGTTTCCTGTTTCTTAACGTAGGATTGTATTGCTATAAACTTCCCTCTTAGAACTGCTTTTGCTGCATCCCATAGATTTTGAGTCGTCGTGTCTCCATTGTCATTTGTTTCTAGGTATTTTTTGATTTCCTCTTTGATTTCTTCAGTGATCACTTCGTTATTAAGTATTGTATTGTTTAGCCTCCATGTGTTTGTATTTTTTACAGATCTTTTCCTGTAATTGATATCTAGTCTCATAGCGTTGTGGTCAGAAAAGATACTTGATACAATTTCAATTTTCTTAAATTTACCAAGGCTTGATTTGTGACCCAAGATATGGTCTATCCTGGAGAATGTTCCATGAGCACTTGAGAAAAATGTGTATTCTGTTGTTTTTGGATGGAATGTCCTATAAATATCAATTAAGTCCATCTTGTTTAATGTATCATTTAAAGCTTGTGTTTCCTTATTTATTTTCATTTTGGATGATCAGTTCATTGGTGAAAGTGGGGTATTAAAGTCCCCTACTATGAATGTGTTACTGTCGATTTCCCCTTTTATGGCTGTATTTGCCTTATGTATTGAGGTGCTCCTATGTTGGGTGCATAAATATTTACAATTGTTATATCTTCTTCTTGGATCGATCCCTTGATCATTATGTAGTGTCCTTCTTTGTCTCTTCTAATAGTCTTTATTTTAAAGTCTATTTTGTCTGATATGAGAATTGCTACTCCAGCTTTCTTTTGGTTTCCATTTGCATGAAATACCTTTTTCCATCCCCTTACTTTCAGTCTGTATGTGTCTCTAGGTCCGAAGTGGGTCTCTTGTAGACAGCAAATATATGGGTCTTGTTTTTGTATCCATTCAGCCAATCTGTGTCTTTTGGTGGGAGCATTTAGTCCATTTACATTTAAGGTAATTATCGATTTCCCATTCCCATTTTCTTAATTGTTTTGTGTTCATTATTGTAGGTCTTTTCCTTCTCTTTTGTTTCTTGCCTAGAGAAGTTCCTTTAGCAGTTTTTGTAGAGCTGGTTTGGTGGTGCTGAACTCTCTCAGCTTTTGCTTGTCTGTAAAGGTTTTAATTTCTCCGTCAAATCTGAATGAGATCCTTGCTGGGTAGAGTAATCTTGGTTGCAGGTTTTTCTCCTTCATCACTTTCAATATGTGCTGCCACTCCCTTCTGGCTTGCAGAGTTTCTGCTAAAAGATCAGCTGTTAACCTTATGGGGATTCCCTTGTGTGTTATTTGTTGTTTTTCCCTTGCTGCTTTTAATATGCTTTCTTTGTATTTAATTTTTGACAGTTTGATTAATATGTGTCTTGGCATATTTCTCCTTGGATTTATCCTGTATGGCACTCTCTGTGCTTCCTGGACTTGATTAACTATTTCCTTTCCCATATTAGGGAAGTTTTCAACTATAATCTCTTCAAATATTTTCTCAGTCCCTTTCTTTTTCTCTTCTTCTTCTGGAACCCCTATAATTCGAATGTTGGTGCGTTTAATGTTGTCCCAGAGGTCTCTGAGACTGTCCTCAGTTCTTTTCATTCTTTTTTCTTTATTCTGCTCTGCATTAGTTATTTCCACTATTTTATCTTCCAGATTACTTATCCGTTCTTCTGCCTCAGTTATTCTGCTATTGATCCCATCTAGAGTATTTTTCATTTCATTTATTGTGGTGTTCATCATTGTTTGTTTCATCTTTAGTTCTTCTAGGTCCTTGTTAAATGTTTCTTGCATTTTGTCTATTCTATTTCCAAGATTTTGGATCATCTTTACTATCATTATTCTGAATTCTTTTTCAGGTAGACTGCCTATTTTCTCTTCATTTGTTAGGTCTGATGGGTTTTTATCTTGCTCCTTCATCTGCTGTGTGTTTTTCTGTCTTTTCATTTTGCTTATCTTACTGTGTTTGGGGTCTCCTTTTTGCAGGCTGAAGGTTCGTAGTTCCTGTTGTTTTTAGTGTCTGTCCCCAGTGGCTAAGGTTGGTTCAGTGGGTTGTGTAGGCTTCCTGGTGGAGGGGAATAGTGCCTGTGTTCTGGTGGATGAGGCTGGATCTTGTCTTTCTGGTGGGCAGGTCCACGTCTGGTGGTGTGTTTTGGGGTGTCTGTAGACTTATGATTTTGGGCAGGCTCTCTGCTAATGGGTGGGGTTGTGTTCCTGTCTTTCTAGTTGTTTGGCATAGGATGTCCAGCACTGTAGCTTGCTGGTTGTTGAGTGAAGCTGGGTCCTGGCCTTGAGATGGAGATCTCTGGGAGATTTTCACCGTTTGCTATTATGTGCAGCTGGGAGGCCTCTTGTGGACCAGTGTCCTGAAGTTGGCTCTCCCACCTCAGAGGCACGGCACTAACTCCTGGCTGCAGCACCAAGAGCCTTTCATCCACAGGGCTCCTTAATTTGGGATGATTTGTTGTCTATTCAGGTATTCCACAGATGCAGGGTACATCAAGTTGATTGCTGTTTCTGAGGCTGCTTTCCCTTTCTCTTCTTTGTTCTCACAGCTCCCAGGGGCTCAGCTTTGGATTTGGCCTCGCCTGTGCATGTAGGTCGCCGGAGGGTGTCTGTTCTTTGCTCAGACAGGGCGGGGTTAAAGGAGCCGCTGATTCGGAGGCTCTGGCTCACTCAGGCCAGGGGGTAGGGAGGGTCACGGAGTGCAGGGCGAGCCTGCGGCGGCAGAGGCCGGCATGATGTTGTGCCAGCCTGAGGCGCGCCGTGCATTCTCCCGGGGTAGTTGTCCCTGGATCCCGAGACCCTGGCAGTGGCGGGCTGCACAGGCTTCCCGGAATGGGGGTGTGGATAGTGACCTGTGTTCACACACAGGCTTCTTGGTGGCGGCAGCAGCGGCCTTAGCGTTTCATGTCTGTCTCTGGGGTCCGCACTTTTAGCCGCGGCTCGCGCCCATCTCTGGAGCTCCTTTAAGCAGCATTCTTAATCCCCTCTCCTCGCGCACCAGGAAATAAAGAGGGAAGAAAACGTCTCTTGCCTCTTCGGCAGGTCCAGACTTTTCCCCCTGCAGGCTGTGTTCACGCCGCCAACCCCAGTCCTCTCCCGGCGCTCTGACTGAAGCCCGAGCCTCAGCTCCCAGCCCCGCCCGCCCCGGCGGGTGAGCAGACAAGCCTCTCGGCTGGTGAGTGCCGGTCGGCACCGCTCCTCTGTGTGGGAATCTGTCCGCTTTGCCCTCCGCAGCCCTGTTGCTGTGCTCTCCTCCGCGGTACCGAAGCTTTCCCCCTCCGCCACCCGCAGTCGCCGCCCGTGAAGGGGCTTCCTAGTGTGTGGACACTTTTCCTCCTTCACAGCTCCCTCCCGCTGGTGCAGGACCTGTCCCTATCCTTTTGTCTCTGTTTATTTTTTTCTTTTGCCCTACCCAGGTACGTGGGGGGTTTCTTGCCTTTTGGGAGGTCTGAGGTCTTCTGCCAGCATTCAGTAGGTGTTCTGTAGTTGTTGTTCCACGTGTAGATGTATTTCTGGTGTATCTGTGGGGAGGAAGGTAATCTCTGCGTCTTACTCTTCCGCCATCTTCCCGGAAGTCCGTGAATTCCCTCAGCCTCTTTATACATCAGGATTTAGGCTTTTTATTCCTCTCAAAAAACCTTTTTTCTCAGAATAAGAAATGTTCTTAATTTAGAAACACTCAAAAGAATGTGAAAATCATACTCCTGACTAAAAATTTCTTGCATGTTCTTTTAGTCTTTTCTGTTTTCCACAGACAAAAACCAACCAAAAAGTGACATGGGGAACAACGAAAACACACACCACAGTATATATCTTTGAAATATAAGTATACACATTTTAATTTATTTTTAAGAATATTTATATTTTAAAATCAGGACGTTTATACGTATGCCTAAACAGCATGGCTGACACAGACCAAATCCACACTGGTAAGCTTCCAAGAACCATTTACTGTGCTGACAGTAGTGCTGGTGCAGGCAGACGGAGAATAAATAATAGTGCTTTGGGGAGCACAGTAGTGATTGATACATAGGGTAGGTAAAGACGGAGCCTCATCGTGGACGCTACAGCATGCAGCTCCCAGTACTGATATGTGCAAAGTTCCAGATCTCCATGACAGAAATGGCCCAACCCATCCAAACAGCCTCCCAACTTGGCTGGCAAGTGCAGAGGGTGGAGGAACTCAGGCACAGGGATGGGGAACTGGACCCAGAGAAAAACTGAAGAAGCAAGAGTTCAGACAAGTACGTGTGTTCACACACATACCCCCACAGCACTGGCCTATATAACAAAACTGTACACAATTTAACAAAGGTGCTCCCAGCCTCCCTGTCACCTCTTTGGCAGTGAGTCAGGCCATCCCAACTTCTGACACACAGACATCTTCATCAGGAGGAAGGCTGTCCTGTGTGGTGGGGACAGGCCTTTAGGTGAGAGCAAGGCTACTGAAGCTATAGCATTAACTGAATATCCCTAAACAAAAAAAGGTGTTAATTACTAATTATAAGTGTACAAGCCCAAAACTGCTTCATGTCCCATACCCCAAGCTTGGGCATAGTCAATCATTTAACTACACAATGGTGAAGTAAAACAAGCCCTTGATCATGCTTTAGCAAGTACAATTACGGGGTAGGGAAAGAAATTAGGTTCCATATGCTAAAATTTACACTTACTGCTATGAACTATGTTTTAATGTATTTCTTGAGTCAAAATAAAACCAAGTGTTTAAGGACGTACTAAGCTTATGATGGACTCTCATCTGTAACTCATTCACTTCTGTAAGTTAGGCCCATGGTAATGGAACCTGTCCAGGCTTTCAAGCACATCTAAACTGAAGAAACATTAAAGCCACCCCTGTATAATTAGGCACAGGGCATAGGAAACCTCAGCTGGATGACTGATCAGGGCTTCTCAGGACTGGATGTTGGTTGAATTGAGGATTCGAGAAGTAGCATCAGATTTGGAAGCCTTTGAAAGTTCTCGCTGTTGAAAAATAAATAACATCAGTGGCATTACTGTCCCCTCTCATGCATGCCCTGCCCTTGTAAGCACAGGTGAGTGTCAGCATACAGCCCAGCACAGGCTGTGTTAGGAACAAAAGGGGAGGGACTCTGAACACCTTAGTCACAGATTAAGCATGTGCACATATGCCCCTTGATTCCTTTCCTCAGCCAGTCCATTCTATTAAAACCTCACAGAAGAGAAATCCCTTATACTTCACAAAGTACTCTCTGAGTTGTCAAGCTAGGTAGGCAACAAGCTTTGGTCTTTTGAACCCTTTAGGAAACAATGGGCCAGAACATGTATCTACCAATCCCTGGGGCTGAGGGCCTTGTAACCTGCTGGTGATTTGATCTCATGCTGGAGCACATGGTATAGAAGCAGAAGACAGAGCAGGAATGACCACTGAGAAAGGACAGATGTTAGTAGAGGTTAGTCTACTGGCTTCAGTGCTGCCTGGTGGAGTCTACCAGCCATAGCAACCAAAACCAGAAGAATCTCCCTCGGCCTAGCCAGAGAGAAACAGATATTTGTAAGCAGCAAGTGGGTGAAGTGGGCTTGGCTGAGCAAACAAAAGAGAAAGCTGGACTCTGTCCAGCAATCAGCTAGCCAGAGTGACAAATACCCACCTTCTTTCTATAGGTAGAACCACCTCTGTCAAGTAACTTGACAAAAGTAAAAGAATATAAAGCTAGCTTCAGTGCTCAAAATGAACAATAGCCTTGGGCAGCCGTCACATTCTCCATCACTGCAGCAAGAGAGTCGATGCCCTAGGCTTTAACTCAGTATCCCCCACAAAGGTGAGGGGCAGGCTTACCTCTCAACAGCTAGATACTGAGGGAAGACAGAACACATTGTTAAGGAAAGCGCACTGCAGTTAAGTGTTGGTAAATGTGGAGTACGTTACTAGGAGCTGAAGAGCATTGTGGGAAAAAATTACTTTCTTCCAGTGCCTCATATATGCTTTAGCAGCTCAATGTGGTAGAAAATAGGCAAAGGCAAAGAAGTGAGCATTGGCTAGCTCAGAGTAGACAGAAAGGTGGCAGTTCAGCTCTGAGGGGTTAGTAAGACATATACTCCAGGAAGTAATCAGCACGCAGGCCAAGAACCTCATAGGCAGCACACAGCTGGGGCTCCCCTCCCCACGTGGTGGGGCCTCTATTCCTTGCAGCACATTGGAGGCCTTTAATGTCACAACTGGGGAGGGTGAAAGTTTTCTGTTGTGAAATAACATGATAAAAAAACTTTGCCTGACTTTAGATGGGGCTGAGAATCCAATTCAAGTCTGAACAAGTTAATCAGCAGGTTAGTCAGTCTGTTGGGAACTTAAGCCAGATATTTATTATTTCTGAAGTCCGTATTAGGAATTCCTGCTTCCTTTGTTAAAAAAAGGTTTTATGATAGTACAGCTGAGATTATTGGTTAGTGTAGCCCTGTGCCCAGATGGGAATGAAGCCAGCAGATGACAGATCAGTCTGGAAAAGGGACATGGGACATGCAGGGGTTGCCATACAGACCTGAAGCCCAACAGTGGAGCTGTTGGGATGGATCAACAGGGATGGATCCTTTTAAGAACAAAGAATTGAGACAATTACCAAGAACTCCACCAAGAGAGCACCAGGGCAGTGATGAGAAGGTTCACCTCCTGCAGCCAGGGAGTGGTATTTCTTAAGCAGAAGGATCCAGGTTAAATGTCTGCTTGCTGCTGCCATCTTTCTTCCTATACACCACCCTTAAACCACCCCACCTCATGCCATGGTCAAGTCAGGAAAGGGATTCTCAGCCTCCAAAGAACTGTCCTAACTAATAGCCTGGGTGCCCTTGGGAAGATACCCACTCTGCCCCAACTGTGTGCTCCCCAGGGACTGGTAGATATTAGAAAAGGTGAATTACCGCAAACTCAGAATAGGTGCTGGCAACAGAATTAATGCTGAAGTTGCGCCGTGGGGGGGCCGAGGCAGGGTACCCACCGCTGAGGATGCTGCCATTGAGCTCCAGGTTCTCCTTGTTGGCTCCACGCTTGAGGCCACGGGGTGTTTTTTTCCCCGAACAGGTGGAAGTGGTGACTGGCTGTAGAGAAAAGAAAGATCGACCAATGTATCATCCTTATAATGACCACATACACAAATTATCAAAGGCTGATACCATCTTTATATTATTCGTGTGTCTGTAATCCTATACTTCTGGCCGTTTTTTTTTTTTTGCGGTATGCGGGCCTCTCACTGTTGTGGCCTCTCCCGTTGCGGAGCACAGGCTCTGGACGCGCAGGCTCAGCGGCCATGGCTCACGGGCCCAGCCGCTCCGCAGCATGTGGGATCTTCCCGGACCAGGGCACGAACCCGTGTCCCCTGCATCGGCAGGCGGACTCTCAACCACTGCGCCACCAGGGAAGCCCTGGCTTATTTTATTTTTAAAATTTTTATCTTTTGGCCACGCCGTGCGGCATGTGGGATCTTATTCCCCAGCCAGGGATCAAACCCACGCCCCCTGCATTGGAAGCATGGCGTCCCAACCACTGGACCACCAGGGAAGTCCCTACTTTTGGTTTAAAAACATACAAATTCTTAATGATCTGCAGAACCCTTATCTTGAGCATAGTCTGTAAAATACCTGAAAGATTGAACACATTTTAGCACGCACTCCTCACTCCCTCCTTGGGTGAGAGTACCTATCTGCATCTAGTTGTCCAGTGTCACTGGGCTGGAACCCACAATGCAAGGACCTCGCTCAGTAGCAACTGAAGACCAGGCTTTGAACTGAGCCTATGGAGACTCTTCAGTTTCCCAGTCACATCCCAGTGCTTCCCGTGATACCGGACTGAGCTCAAAATGACCATTCTCTTCTCTCATTTAGTTTTTGACAGATTAGCTAGCTTACATCTGTCAACTTTCAGCATCTCAATGATAACCGAATCCAGGGATCTTAGAAACTGGAACAAGTTAGGTGGGGCCCTGTATGGCTGAACCATACTGAGTCCTTTTTGTCAGCTCCATCTTAGGCCTACAGTCCCACCCCCTCCCCTTCCTGCATGACTGAGCTTCAGCTTACAAGGAATGAGGCCAAGCCAGACAAGTTCCCTATCAACTTTGACCCTTGCCTTCATCTGATAAAAAAAACTGGAAGAATGCCTTTTGCTGATGTAGATGATTAACGGTCTTGAGACCCTGGCAGGAGGAAAACCACCCAGTTCCTGTCACTACAGATGTGCTTCTCCCTAGTAGTCAGATTCTATTTTTAGCTTTGGCCCCCTTAAATCCCCCTGTATCTCTTTCGCGCTTGAGTGCAGCTGCAAATGCCTCTGGGTCACTGTCTGCCCGATCCTGCCTGTATGCAAGTTACCCACAATAAACTTCATAATTGTACTTTATGAAGCTGCCTGCTTTGTTTTTAGGCCTCAAAGTTCCTTCTCAGTCCAGAGGACAGTATTCAATCTCTCCACCTCCCAGCAGTCCCCGGAGTACATAGGTTGGGGCAGTGTCGGGGATGTGCTTGTACACAGAGCATACTAAATACTAACCTTGCTGCCAGAAGGTGGAAGGCGAGACACAGGGGAGCGGCAGACTGTCCCCGAAAAGACAGGCCGAATGCTGCTGTTGGCCGTAGCATTGGACACAGTGGTAGTGTTCAGCTAAGGAGAAGAACACAGATTATTATTATTATTTTTTTTTTTGCGGTACACGGGCCTCTCACTGTTATGGCCTCTCCCGTTGCAGACAGAGCACAGGCTCTGGACGCGCAGGCTCAGCGGCCATGGCTCACGGGCCCAGCCGCTCCGCAGCATGTGGGATCTTCCCGGACCGGGGTTTGAACCCGTGTCCCTTGCATCGGCAGGTGGACTCTCAACCACTGTGCCACCAGGGAAGCCCGAACACAGATTATTGATGTGAGATGACGTGCTTAGCAGCCCATCCCTACACTACAGAGAGTGAGGGTGGGAAGCAGTCTAAGACAGTTTTTACGGTGAAGAGCTTTGAGGACACCTGTGAAAAGCGTTCAGTGTTCCATAAAATGGGACAACCATTTTGTTTCCAAAAGTTAAACAGACAACTATCATAAGATCCAGCCATATCATTCTTGGGTATTTACCCAAGAGAAATGAAAGCATATACCCATACAAAGACTTACATATAAATATTTATAGCAGCTTTATGTGTAGCAGCCAGATAACTAGAATTAAGCCAAATATCCATCAACACAGGCAACTAGATAAGCAAACTGTGGTATATACGTCCAATGGAATACTGTTTAACAATAAAAAGGGGTAACCTACTGATACATGCAACAACAGATGAAAAAAGTCAGACACAGAAGTATACATACTGTATGATTCTATTTATATAAAATGTTAGAAAATGCAAACTAATCAACAGTAACAGAGCAAAGCTGCAGTTGCCAGGAGCTAGTGGGAAATGGGTGGAGGGAGGGAAATGGGTGGTAAGGGAAGCAAAGAGAAAACAAAGGGGCAAAAGGAAACTTTGGGTGTGATGGGTATGTTCATTATCTTGATTGTGGTGAGGGTTTCACAGTGCATACATATATTACAGCTTATTAACGGGTACACTTTAAATATTATGTGTCTACTTTATTCAATAAAGCTGTAAGCTTTTTCTTTAATTGGAAAAACTCTAGGTGGATTAAAAACCTTAAATGGGATAGCAAGACTATTCAAATACAAGACACAAACTAGGAAATACAACACAGGAAAATATCTGTGTGCCTCAGGTCCTGGGTAGGTTATTTGCAACTACAAGCCATTAAAAAAACAGGTTGAAAACACTTTTACTATATTGATATTAATAACTTTTTGTTCATCAACAAAACACCATAAAGAGTAAAAAGACAAGCTACAGGGACTTCCCTGGTGGTGCAGTGGTTAAGACTCTGAGCTACCAATGCAGGGGGCCTGGGTTCGATCCCTGGTTAGGGAACTAGATCCCACATGCATGCCGCAACTAAGAGTTCGCATGCCACAACTAAGGAGCCCACCTGCCATAACTAAGACCCAGCACAACCAAAAAAAAAAGATAAGCTACAGAAGACACACACAAATGCTGGGAAAAGCTATTGTAACACAACTGACAAGGAAATAGCATCCAGAACATACAAAGAATTCCTATAAAATTTGCAAGAAAGAAACAAAATGTTCCAACAGAAAAACTGTCAAAAACTTCTCAGAATAGGAAATCCAGAAGGCTAATGAACATGGCAAAAGGTTCAACTTCATTAGTAATTAGGAAAATGCAAACTAAAAATATGAGACATTACTTCACACCCATCAGATGGGCAAAAATTGTAAAGTCTGAAAATATCACATGTTGGCAAAGATTGGAGCCAGCGTAGCACTTAGGCACTACCACTGGAAGCGTAAATTGTTATAACTGCTTTGGTATCACAGACTGAATGATCAGTGCAGCCAGCACTTGAGAAATGTTTGAATGCAGCACTCTTGAGATCATGGGCCATATCACTTAATCTTTGTGTTCTCAGCATCTAATAGAGAGAGTCTCAAACTTTTAATGAAAACAAACATTTTGGACTTCCCTGATGGCACAGTGGTTAAGGATCTGCCTGCCAATGCAGGGGACATGGGTTCAATCCCTGGTCCGCGAAGATCCCACATGCCACAGACCAACTAAGCCCGTGTGCCACAACTACTGAGCCCATGTGCCGCAGCTACTGAAGCCTGCACGCCTAGAGCCCATGCTCTGCAACAAGAGAAGCCACCACAATGAGAAGCCCGCACACCGCAATGAAGAGTAGCCCCTGCTCACCGCAACTAGAGAAAGCCCACACACAGCAACAAAGACCCAACAGAGCCAAAAAAAAAAAAACCCAAACCTTTTTTTTCCCAACCCTTTCTAAAATTTTATAACACATATTTTTAAAATTTCGTCACATTATTTTCCTAATAAAAAATTAACTACCTAATATCAAACAATAGGGAACTAGTTTAGTAAATGACACTATGTCAAAAGAATAGAATATATAGCTAAGAATGAGCATGTTATTTGAAGAAAGTTTGATGCTATGAAAAAAAATCACACCAATACCGACTAGGGAAAAAGCAGAAATCAAAATTATATGTGATCTCTATTTTGTGAAAATACACTATTTTAAAAAGCTTTTTACAGAAGCAGGAAAAACACCAAATAGTCTCATTGGTTCTCCTGGAGTTACATTACAGGTGATTTTTAAAACATTTTATGTGTTATAAAATAATGAGTTGCAAGGGAAAAGGAAAATAATGCTCCACTTCATTTATTAAAGAAACGGTTTTAAAAAAACAAAGGAAGAAAGAAAGAAGGAAGGAAGAACTCCCTGATTTCCTGCTCTAGAGATTAAGGAGTATTAGGTATCCCCCTTGCCAAGCATGAAAGTCTTCTTTCACATAGTGCCATGGTCACTTGTTCGAATTACAGAATGAACCTCTGAAGGTTCTCATCATTACAAAATGTTGGCAGCTGCTGGCTCCCGAGTTTAATCTGGGACTCATCAAAGCTGGCCACCCCTTGACTGTCACTGTCAAGTCCCTACTCAGGATTGAACTGCAGAATTGCATTCACACTGTCAAATGGACTCAACCTGGAAGGCTAGAAAAATTCTTTCCCATCTCTGCAGGACAGAAGGCAAGAGATGGACAGAGCCCTAGCCTCAAAAATGCCTCAGACATGGCAGTTCATGCAGCCTCGTGTTTATTACCTTGCGCACTTTGCCCGGCGTGCCAGGTGTCAGTCCTCGCCGCTTGTTGGGTGTTCGCGGAGTACTACCATAGAGCATCTCTGTCTCAGTTTGCTTCTTGTTCTTTAGTTGCTATGTGAAAGTCAGAAGCAAGAGTGACAAATCCCAGAAGGAGAACAGGTCTGGGATGGGGGCAGAGGCAGGGCCAGAAATCTAGCGCAAGTCTCTGCACCCAGAGCTAAAAAGAGCTGCCATGAACTACTCCTTATTCAACCAACCTAGAGCCCTGGCAGAGACTCTGGGCTGCTCACTCATGCTGTCTTCTCCTCCTCCCAAACTGGGTTCACTTACTCGTTCCTGCTTGGCTCTCTCTTTCTCCAGTCGGTGCATCTCCCACTGTTCTGTTACATACTCCATGAACTTCTGCCCATTCACCACAAATGCCTTTGAATGCTCCTGTTCCCACATTTCAATCCTTGCTTTCAACTCCTCTTCCAACTGAGACCAGAAACAAGGACATGTTAATTACTTCAAATTTTTGGTGTGAAGCCCAAAAGAAATGATTCTCCCGAAGAATGCCTCCTCCCTCCCCAAAGTATCATTAGCCTGACTTTAGGTAGCTGGACCCACGTGGGAACAGGTTGGAGCGGCCAGAAATCAGTCTTGGGATGGTTCATTCATAATACACATGAAGGTGGGAAAAGGCGAGAACCCAGAGCCTGACCACTACAGTTTTGGCGCCCGAAGTTGGAGGCAGCACTGGGGTAGACCAGCAACGTTAAATACGCAGCGTACACTAGAGCGGCACTATCTGGTCCAATCTGGAATCTACCTCTTACTGGCTGTGAACAGGTAGGCAAGTTACTTAAGTTGTCAGTGCCTCAGTTTCCTCATCTGTAAAAATGGAATTAATAATACCAACCTCTTAAGGATGTTGTGACAATTAATAAATGGAAAGTACTTTGAAACAGTATATGGCACTTAATTCAATAAGTGTTAACTATTATTATTAAAATAGAGAATAGTAATGAAGTCCAAAGCACTTTCTCAAAAGGTTACGGGCTGAATTATCCCCTGACAAATTCATATGCTGAAGTCTTAATCCCCAGTACCTCAGAATGTGGCTTTACTGGGACACAGAGGTAATTAAGTTAAAATGAGGTCATCAGGGTGGGTCCTAATGCAACATGACTGGTAGCCGAATAAGAAAATGTGGACACGGACACACACAGAAGGAAGGCCACGTGCAGACACAGGGAGAAGACTACTATCTGGAGCCAGGACAGAGGCCTCGGAAGAAAGCAGCCCTGCTGACACCCGGGTCTCAGACTTCGAGCCTCCAGAATTGTGAGAAAGTGAATTTCTGTTGTTTAAACCACCCAGTCTCTGATACTTTGTTATGGCAGCCCTAAAAAGCTAATAAAACTTGATATTCAGTTGCTTGTACTAGGTAGGCCCAGTATATACTTATTATCCTTTACCTAAGGAAAAACAATTCAAAGCAAGAGGTATACAAAAAGTGAGGTTTTTGTAGCCAAGCACCAAAAACTCTTTCAGTAACAATATTACCTTAGGGAGTGTCTTTTGGAGCTTGGCTCGCTGCTTTTCTTCTTTTAGAAGATTTCCTCCACGATTTGTAAATCGACTTGGATCTGAAGCCTTTCTCTGTGAAAAATACATTTTAATTAGAATGAACCCCGGACAGTCAGACCAGTCACTTCTGCTAAGAATCCTCACTCTCATAAACAGATACATATTTTTAGGGAGACTTCAGAGTTTTGCATTCCCATCCACTTTTAGCAGTGAGAAATCGTGGCTTTCTAAGGCAGGGAGTGGGGTGTGAACACTCTGAGGCATATGCAAGATCATACACTGGGGTACAGGAAAACTAGTGTTTCCTTTTTAGTCTAAAAAGTAAGACAGGCTTTAATATTTAATGCATTTAATTTAAGGCTCCCTTCCTGGGTTCAGATGTCACCAACAGGAAATGGGGTATGTGGAAGGACAAGGGGGAGGTCTACACTCAGAGGGTTTGGTGGTGGTACCCCTACTTACCCACTCACTTCCAGCATATTGAGACAATGCAGCTTAAATGTGCTCAGTTAAGGGGTTTATAGATAATCTGGTTTTTATTAAATTAACCCTCACAAAATGGACAAAAAATGTAAAATGTTAGGGTTCTTATTCTTTTTAACATTTCTGTTTTTTGTTATTCTACAGTGTATACAGTATATCAGAACAGTAATATAAGTGTATAATTTGTAAATGTAAATTAGGTGAATACACTAAAAAACGGGACAGATAATCAGAAAAGTTTAGAAACAATCTTGACAATTTGGGGGCCAAACTGATAAATTCTATTTCCTTTCCAGACTGCTTGATTATAAGCAATAACTAAAAGGAATAGTAATTAGTTTCTTATTTTTTCTTAAATACTAGCATGTAAACAAGGGTCGCTTATTTGGCTCTTTACTGCCTCTGTGTGTGTGTGTGTGTGTGTGTGTGCGCGCACGCGCGCGCACACGCGCGCACACGCGCACGCACACATGTTTTTTTTTTACACTGAAGTATAGTTGATTTCCAGTATAAGTCTCAGGTGTACAACACAGTGATTCACAATTTTTGAAGTTTATACTCCATTTATAGTTATTATAAAATATTAGCTACATTCTATGCTGTACAATATATCCTCGTAGCTTATTTATTTTATACATAATAGTATGTACTTCTTAAACCCCTACCCCTTTATTGCCCCTCCCCCCTCTCCCTCCCCTCTGGTAACCATTAGTCTGTTCTCTGTATCTGTGAGTCTGTTTCTTTTTTGTTATATTCACTAGTTTGTTTTATTTTCTAGATTCCACATATAAGTGGTATCATACAATATTTGCCTTTCTCTGAGTTATTTCACTAAGCATAATACCCTATAGATCCATCCATGTTGTTGCAAAAGGCAAAATATAATTCTTGTTTATGGCTGAGCTCTTCACTGACTTTTATTACTCCTTGCTTTCAACCAGAAGTAAGAGGTAACTGAGGACTAGAACACTTGCTCTTAAACAGCTGTGAGCTCTCAGTTTTTTCCACTTCTGAGTCCTAGTTTCTTGCCTGGAAACTTGAAGGAGTTAAACTCCGGATTCTCTAAAGGCCTGTTCAAGCTCTAATAGGACCAGTATGAACCTGACAGTGAGTCTCCTTGAACTTCGTGCCCAAGGTGCCTCACTTGCCTCGTCCTAGTCCCAGTTCTGAGCTCTAAAATGCTCTAAGGGAATCGACTCGTGCTAAGTCTATCAAAACAAAAGGAATTCAGAGTACACAAATGTGCCCCAAATACCCAGGCAATTTTCTAATAACAAAAGTTGGAAGAGTACAGAATGTTAGTTGCCTGCCTCAACATCCATTTTTCTCTCCTTCCTTAGTAATAGAGCCTGAATTTATCTGCGATAGTGATTCTCCCAGCCTCGCCAGTAGTTGGTGTGGCATTTAAGCAGAAGTGCTGTGAAAAGAGCCTGGGAAAACCTCTTAGAGGGGGTGGAGGGGCAATGCCTTCTGTGTTCCCTCCTCCACCACACTGCCTGAAACGCTATGGTGGGAGCTCTAGAACCACCCTGGACCGGAAGATAAGATCCACCCCTTAGTGGTAAAGGAGCTATGAGCTGGAGAAGCCTGGGACCCCCTGACTGTGGAATAGCCATACCTGCCTTGCACTGCCTACCTTTAGACTTCCTTTATGCAAGAAACTTCAACCTTATTGAAGGCATTAATTTTGGGGTTTTCTCTTACATGTTTCTGCATATAAGCTTGACAAATACAGATGGGTTAGCAGTAGTTTATAGACTTAATGATAAAGATGGTATTAGAAACCTGGTCAAGAGCAAAGGAAACAGGCCTCTGACTCTATACAGGGGACGCTTTCTTAACACTTCACTGTAATCTAAGGAAAACAGACAAAAACTAAGGCAGTACCTCGAACTCTAAGAAAAGCTTCCAGCTTTCTTCCCACTTCTGGACACCTTCAAAGAGTTCTTTGTGAACCTCATAGTAGTTTCTTAACTGCACAATCTCGGCATCATGGAGCTGAAGCAGATTTTCTGTATAGTCCTCTGCAAGATATAGGCCCAGTAGTTTTAAAAAATCCCTCTAGTGTTTAGTATCCCAATTTACTAATCCTTCATCCCCCTAAAATGGAAACAGAATTTTCTTCCTTACAGTAAAAATGACACACGAGTAAGTGTATGTTGTGGATAATAAAAGCCAGGTTTGTCCCAATCAGCCTGGTGGGACTAGAGACTAAGGGACTAGGGTGTGGACTAAAAGGCCTAAGATTCTCAAAACTCTGTCATCTCTTGCCTTGTCTTAGGTTTCTTTCATATTCTTCCTTTCCACCCTGCCCAACAGAGGGCCGAGTCACAGAAAATGTCCAAAAATGTTGAATTTAGTAAAGACAGCTTCATCTTTATATTCAGTTCAGGTCAGACTAGAATTCCATTGGGTCCTGGGGTCATACCTCGTGGGCTCAAATGTGGGCTCTGCCATTTACCTATTGTGTGTCTCTGGGTTAAGTTGTTCAACATTTATGTGCCTCAGTGTCCTCATCTCTTGACATGAGAATTAAGTCAGATAATCCTGTTAAGAGTCTGACATTGCGCCTGGCACAGAGTAAGCTCCTGCTAAACTTGAGCTTCACAACTACATGCTACAGAGAGATTCTGCTTCAGAAACCAAGAGATCCCTTATTTCCCAATAGCATTTGCAAATGCTTATTTGAACAGGAGTGGCAGTTTATGCTGAATGGCCTGGAAAGGTAGCAATGTCTGTTCAGTAGAGGAAATACTTCCCAGTGAATGTCTGCACTTGTAAAAGACAAGTGAGCAGGCCACATGAAGAGCGACACTTCTGTACGAACCAGAATAGTAAGGGGCAAAAGCTTGTCTCTGCTCCTGGCTATAAAAACACTGGTCCCAGTACTGAGCCAGCTCCACTCGTATTGCCTCAATCACTTTCTTCATGTTTTGCATTTTCAGTTCTTCCAACCGATCCACTTCTAATTGCAGCTGAAACAAAGAGACCTGTTAAAAGTGCTTGTCATACTTATATATTCACGTAGGTTTGCAAAATATTTTCCCCCTTTTTAATAAAATTACAATACAAAACCACAGAGGTAAGTCAACACTCTTTATAACGATGATATCATAGGAGCCAGAAATCTAAGAAACATACGCGAAAGATAAAAGATGAGCAGGCTACTGCCACTCTTTTCTGACGCTTGTCTTAAAAACAGGCTCACTCAAGGCAGAAGCTGGTAAAGACATCAGACTTGACACCAAAATGCTGACCCAGCGCCCTTTGGGTTTCTTACCGCTTTCCGGACCTTGGCCTTTGACCCCGTCATAACTGTGGCCACAGCTTCTCTCTCTTCTGCAGGTATTTGCAACCTATCCCAGAGTTCTCGTATCTGAGCACGCAGCCCCTCACACACTGCTTCGTTTTGTGATTTTCGCATTTCCAGCTGTAGCAAGGAAAGCCAGTGGTTATAGCAAAGACAGCAGCACAGAGAAAACTGGCCCTCTGGCCTCCTACAGAGACACATCTGTACCCACATGGAGAAGAAGCACTTTTACAAGACTGTGAAGAGGTGTGTTTTCATGACTTCTGAAAACAAACTGTAAGGCTGTCATTATGGTAGGATCTCAGACCCCAAGAATTAGGATTCAAATTTTTAATTAAAAAAAATTTGGGGGGGGCTTCCCTGGTGGCACAGTGGTTGAGAGTCCGCCTGCCGATGCAGGGGACATGAGTTCGTGCCCCGGTCCAGGAAGATCCCACATGCCGCAGAGCGGCTGGGCCCATGAGCCATGGCCGCTGAGCCTGCATGTCCGGAGCCTGTGCTCCGCAACGGGAGAGGCCACAACAGTGAGAGGCCCACAGCAAAAAAAAAAAAAAAAAAAAATTTCAATTAAACACTAAGGTAATTCAAATGACTATTATTATTTCATCCAAAAACCTCAATTTCAGGGGATTTCCCTCATGGTCCAGTGGGTAAGACTCCCTGCTCCCAATGTAGGGGGCCAGGGTTCGATCCCTGGTCAGGAAACTAGATCCCGCATGGATGCCGCAACTAAGAGTCCACATGCTGCAACTAAGGAATCCACAGGCCGCAACTAAAAAAGATCCTGCGTGCCACAACAAAGACCCAGCGCAGCCTAAATGAATGAATGAATAAATAAACATTTTAAAAAAAACTCAATTTCACATTCTCAGAGCTATATATAAATTAAGGTTTTTGTTTAAAAAAAATCAAGGTTGTGTTTCAAATAATACTATTGTCTTTTTTTATTTGGCTGCATTGGGTCTTCATTGCTGCATGCAGGCTTTCTCTAGTTGCGGCTAGAGGGAGCTACTCTTCGTTGCAGTGCGAGCGCTTCTCATTGTGGTGGCTTCTCTTGTTGCGGAGCACAGTCTCTAGGTGCACTGGCTCAGTAGTTGTGGCTGGCAGGCTCTAGAGCGCAGGCTCAGTACTTGTGGCGCATGGGCTCAGTTGCTCCGCGGTACGTAGGATCTTCCCGGACCAGGGATCGAACCCGTGTCCCCAGCACTGGCAGGTGGATTCCTAACCACTGGGCCACCAGGGAAGCCCTATCTCATTATCTTAAAGGAAAAAGCTGCAGTTTTCTCAGATTGCTGGATACTATGGAGATCCCAGGCCATAATTTGAGTAGACATTACCTGCTGTAGCAACTTCTGTAGTGTTGCAATATTTTCCAAAGATAAACAAAAGGCATCTTCATCTTCACAGACCACATCTCTTTCAAAGCTTGTGTCTGGTGTGTGTTCTAATTCTTCCATACACAGTATGATCTGTCTCTTTATGTTGACGAACTCCTCATGCCTAGATGCCTATTAAAAAAAAAAAAAGATTACAAGATACCTAGAGGAAAGTCAAATGACTTTTAGGAACTATGAATGTAAGCACACCTTTGTTTCCCTCAGAGTTGCCACGTGTTGTCTAAACTGGCTCAGCTCTTCTAAGCTGGGAACTGAGGTGCTGTCAATGTCATAGTGGGGCGTGCAAAGAATTTCACACAGTTCTTGATCTTGTTCTTGAAGTAGTTTCAGTTCTTGTTTTCTCTCCTTTTTCTGTTTTCTCATCAGTTCTACCTGAGTGCGCAAATCCTTTTCTAGCTGCAAGATGGTCGTCTCTCCTTCTTCCTATATGAGACAATGTACTATTGTGTTAAGGTTCCAAGCGGATTTCTTCAAAGGAAGAGAAGACAACGAAAGAGGACTAGGATGACAGACTTTTAGTTAAACTTACAAATAAATCAACTTACAGCTAACAGAATATGGCACAAAGAGGGTCCCCTAACAAAGGTTCCCAGTAAGGAAAGGTACCAGGGCACTTTTACAAGAGGTAAAAATTGGTTGAAAAGCTTATTTTGAATTAGCTACAGGGTAGTATATTTAGCTCCTAACTAAATGTTTACCCCAATAATCCTAAACATCACTCAACCAATAAAAATCAATTTAGTACTCCTTGCTCTACTCCTAACTGATAAGCAGGAGAAAAAACAAGTGGCAGTTATGTCCTATAAATTTTATTCAACATTGGTGAACTAAGGACTGTCATATAATTTAAGGGAGATGTACCACTGTATATCTAACTTCTCACCCAATTTCATATTGAAAATTTAAAAAAAAAGACTAAAGAAACTATTTGTCCAAAATCAATGATATTTATGCCATTTGTGTTGATTTCAGGAAGCTCTACTGATGTCACAGTCTGCCTGACTGTTCTTGGCTACCAGAAATGAATTAGCCTTAATCCTTTAGAGACAGTCTCCTCCTCCTAGGCTGACTCCACTGAGATACCCAGGCAGTTCTTTCTGTAACAGGGAGAGGGACCTGAGACCTTATTGGTACCACATTAGCCACTGTGTGCTGTCCTTGCACCCACATCTATTCTAATTACCTTCCCAATCTCCACGTTTGTCTTCATTTTTATGATCCCAACACTGTTTTTACCAGTTCTAACCAGGGATATGTTTTGGGGTCCCTCTGTCATTCATGTCATGCTTGCTGGTGTCCTCATTTAAGTCCGATTTGTGCTGGACCACAGGACAGCAACCTCTCAGCAAGGTACATAGATAAACATGGCATGCCCTGAATTTGACTACGCTCTCTTGATATTCCAGCTGTGGAGACATCTCTTCTCAAGTGGCCATTCTGGCTAGTGCAGTGATGTGTAGCTTTTGGGTATGAAAAAATCCACAGAGGCAGGTTTTTTGGGTTTTTCCTTATATCACTAGTCACTTTTGTATCCTAAGTAGTTCTCTTCATTTTCTTTCAAAGAAAGAATGGAATGATACCATCTATGCCTAGCTCAGAGTTCAAAAAAATTTTTGTGTCCTACAAATTGATAGTTAGAGGCTTGTTTTTGATTAAAACATTTCAACACTTAGCTGCTTCACCTCTCAACAGGGCAACTCTTCACATAAGTGAAAACTGCTTTGCTGGAACCAAGTAACTAGGCAGCACATTTTTCCCATTTCTCATGTCCAGTATCAGCCCTACAAGGAAACTTTCCACCTGTAGCCCCAAATCAAAGTTCTTCCCTAAATCTCAGACCCAGGCAGGATCGATCCCCTGACACCCTGCCATGTACCTGAAATGGCTCGACATGTAGCTCACTGCACAGAGTTTTCAGCTCTTTTTGGCAGATGGCTATGCTTTTGATGAGCCTTTCCTTCAGGCTTTCCTCTTCAGCAATCATCATATCCAGGAGGTCCTACGAGAGATGAAACAGTCCCATAAAAGTTTCGGGTGTTTTCCCCATTGGCCTCAAACAACAAACAACACCAAAACCCTCATAATTTCAAATTTTAAAGGAAGGACTTAAACAAAACCAGGACTTCCCTGGCGGTCCAGTGGTTAAGATTCTGTGCTCCCAATGCAGGGGGCACAGGTTCAATCCCTGGTTGGGGAACTAGGATCCTATATGCTGCACGGCGCGGCCAAAACAAACAAACAAAAAACAAGGAGGAGCCTGTGACATCCTAGTGTCACTTCTATATGCTATCTTAGATGAGACACCAACATCCTTACCCCTGTCCCACTACAAAGAGATCAGTATTACTCAACTCACCTTGATATGCTTCTTTACAACCTCAGTTCTTTGTAACCGCTGGTCCTCTGGAATCCCAATCAATTCCCATATTTCCCGAAGGTGATTCAGGGCTTTCTGTAGACATACTATGGACTCCTCTGCCAGCACCTCACTAAAAAGCAAAAGAGAACCAGCTACATGAGCCACTGCCTCCAGACTAAAAGCAGTATTTACAGAAACTAAACAAACTAGTTTCGCAGTGGGCTCAAGGCTAAAACAAATTGAAAACAAGCATTCAGCTTAACTCATCTTGAACACTCCCCTATCCTTCTGCCTCCAAACACCAAAACACTGGCAAAGCAAAATCCAGTATCATATTATCAATTCAGTGTGGAAATTCAATCTTCTGAATAATACTCAGAATCTGGACTTTGATCAATGATTCTACCTATGGCAGTACAATACAGAATTTTAAATGCTTTTATTAAAGAAAAAACAAACAAAAATGTCAGGTCCTATAAAATAGCTGGCAATTTAGTTACTCATTTTTTTCCCTTCCTGTTTTTCTAAGCTATAATTGACATATATAGCACTGTATAAGTTTAAGGTGTACAGCATAATGATTTGATTTACATACATCATGAAGTAATTATCACAATAAGTTTAGTAAACATCCATCATCTCATATAGGTACAAAATTAAAGAAATAGAAAAAAAATTTTTTTGCCTGTGATGAGAACTCACAGGGTTTACTCTCTTAACAACTTTCATAAATAACATACAGTGGTGCTGGGACTTCCCTGGTGGTCCAGTGGATAAGGCTCGGCGCTCCCAGTGCAGGGGGCCCAGGTCAGGGAACTAGATCCCAAGTGCATGCCGCAGCTAGGAGTCCACATGCTGCAACTAAAGATCCTGCATGCCTCAAGAAGACCCGGCGCAGCCATCCATAAATAAATAAAATAAATATTTTTAAAAATACAGTGGTGCTAATTATATTTATCATGTTCTATATTACATCCCTAGTACTTATTTATCTTAAAACTGATTCCTTATAACCTTTTGACTGCCCTCATCCAATTCCCCACCCCCAGCCTCTACCTAAGACTCTAATCTCTTTTTCTATGAGTTTGTTTGTTTTTGAAATATAACTGACCTATAACACTATGTTAGTTCCTGTTACAGAACACAGTGATTTGATATTTCTATACATTTCAAACTGATCACAATAAGTCTAGCTACGATATGGCACCATACAAAGATATTACATAGTTATTGACTATATTCCCCACACTGTACATTTCATACCTGTGATGCATTTATTTTGTAACTGGAAGTTTGTATTTCTTAATCTGCCTCACCTATTTCTTTCCTCCCCCTACCCCCCGACCCCTCTTGGCAAATTCCTGTTTGTTCTCTGTATCTATAACTGTGTTTACATTTTATTATGTTTGTTCATTTGTTTATCTTTTTAAATTCCACATATAAGTGAAATTACATGGTATTTGTCTATCTCTGTCTGACTTATTTCACTTAGCATAATGTCCTGTAAGTCCATCCATGTTGTCACAAATGGCAAGAATTCATTCTTTTTTTATGGCTGAGTAATATTCCAGTGTGTGTGCATGCACACACACATACATACATACACACACAAACATACACACATATTCTTTATCCATTCATCTACTGATGGGCACTTAGGTTGCTTCCATATCTTGGATGCTGCAATGAACATAGAGGGGCACATATCTTTTCGAATTAAGTGTTTTGTTTTCTTTGGATAAATACTCAGGAGTGGAATTGATAGATCATATGGTAGTTCTATTTCTATTTTTTTTTTTTTTTTTTTTTTGCGGTATGCAGGCCTCTCACTGTTGTGGTCTCTCCCGTTGCGGAGCATAGGCTCCGGACGCGCAGGCTCAGTGGCCATGGCTCATGGGCCCAGCCGCTCCGCGGCATGTGGGATCTTCCCGGACTGGGGCACGAACCCATGTCCCCTGCATCAGCAGGCGGACTCTCAGCCACCGCGCCACCAGGGAAGCCCCTATTTCTAATTTTTTGAGGAATCTCCATACTGTTTTCCATAGTGGCTACTCCAATTTATATCCCCACCAACAGTGCACAAGCGTTCCCTTTTCTCCACATCCTCACCAATACGCGTTATCTGTTGTCTTTAATAATAGTCATTCTGACAGTTGTGAGGTGATTATCTCATCGTCGTTTTGATTTGCATTTCCATTTTGATTAGTGATGTTAAGCATCTTTTCATGTGCCTGTTGACTATCTGTATGTCTTCCTTGGAAAAATGTCTATTCAGATCCTCTGCCCATTTTTTAATCAGGTTGCTTGTTCTTCTCAATGTTGAGTTGTGTAAGTTCTCTGTATATTTTGGAATATTAACCCCTTCTCAGGTATTTTCAAATATCTTCTCCCATTCAGTAGGTGGCCTTGTTGTTGATCTTAAATTACAACTATTAATTTATAGAATGACTAAAAGTTAAAAAATAATCAGGTGTTGGTGAGTATACAGAAAAGCCAGAACTTTCGTATACTACTGCTTGGAGTGTGAACTGGTACAACCACTTTGAAAACTGTTGGCAGTATCTGCTAAAGCTGAACCCAGCAGTTCCATGTCTACATATGTAGAAATGCACACATATGTACCAAAGGTGTGTACCAGAATGATCAAAGCAGCACTACTCATAATATCATAAAGGTAGAAACAAACTAGATGTCCATCAACAGAATAGAGAAACAGTACATTCCTACCATGGAATAATACAGCAATGAATAAAAAAACATGGGTGAATCTCAGAAACATCATGTTGATCTATGCTAAATGAAAGAGGTCAAATTCAAAAAGACTACATACTATATGATTCTACCTTATGAAATTTTAGAAAAGGCAAAACTATAATGAAAGAAAGCAAATGAACTGCCTGGAATCAGGGCAGGGGATCAACTGCAAAGGGGCATACAGCAGCTATTTTTAGGGTGACAGAATGGTTCTAGATCTTAATGGTGATGGTGATTACATAACTATACACAGTGACCAAAATTCAAACTGTACACGTAAAATGAGTCAATTTTACTGTATGTAAATTATACCTCAAATCTTAAAGAAGAAAAAAAAAAAAAAAAAAAAAGGGAGGAAAAAGAAAAAAAAAAAAAAAAAAAAAAAAAAAAAAAGTTGAGGAAGAAGAGGAAAAACAGCCAGATAAGCAAGCATCTATCACTACGTGATTCCAATTATACAAAGTCAAAAACAGGCAGAACTAAGCTTTGCTTTGAGAAGTCAGGATAGTGGTTGTCATTGTCCTGGGAAGTGGTGACTTTTGGAGGGCACAGGAGGGGTGGTTACACAGCGTGTGCTGACTTTATGAAAATTCATCAAGTTTGCACTTGATCTGTGTGCATTTCTGAATATATGTTATACTTCAATTACAAAAAGTTTATTTAAAAATTATTCACTGTTTATCTGAAGCACAAATTTAACTGTGTACCTTGTATTTTATCTTTCAAAAAAAACTTTAGTTTTCTTTTTTTTTTTGGCCTCACCGCACAACTTGTGAGATCTTAGCTCCCCGACCAGGGATGGAACCTGCGCCCTCAGCAATGAAAGCGCAGTCTTAACCACTGCCCGCCAGGGAATTCTCAAAAAACCTTTACTTAAAAAAGTTTGCTTAGTCTGCTTCACACAGCATTTAAATAAGAGATTTTCTCTTCTTTCTTGGTACACCTGGATAACAGAGACCACTCTGGCACCAGAGAGACTAAACTCTGGATGTGCTTTTCTATCAGTCAGCCAGGAGGCCTCCAACAAGTCACTGAAGCTCTTTGTGTGCAAATGATGAGGATAGAGGCTCTCACTGGCCCCCTCTCTGTCGCAGCATATTCAGGGGTTCTGAATCACCAGCCTAGATCTCCAAGAACATCATTTTCTCCATAGGCTTTTTTTTTTCTTTTCTGCTCACTTCTTCCTTCCTTCCTTCCTTCTTTCCTTCCTTCCTTCTCTCTCTCCCTCTCCCTCTCTCCCTCCCTCCCTCTCTCTCTCTATTTATGTTATTTTTGGCTGCATTGGGTCTTCATTGCTGCACTGGCTTTCTCTAGTTGCGGCGAGCGGGGGCTACTCTTCGTTGTGATGTGCAGGCTTCTCATTGCAGTGGCTTCTCTTGTTGTGGAGCACAGGCTCTAGGGCGCACGGATTTCAGTAGTTGTGGCACGTGGACTCAGTAGTTGTGGCACGTGGACTCAGTAGTTGTGGTGCATGGGCTTAGTTGCTCCACAGCATGTGGGATCCTCCTGGACTAGGGCTCGAACCCATGTCCGCTGCATTGGCAGGCGGATTCCCAACCTTGCACCACCAGGGAAGTCCTCCTTAGGTTTTAATATATTCACATCCAAGACATTTCTCTAGCCAAGAAATCCCAATTCAAAGGTTGCCTGTCCTGGTTCAATAAAAGCTTCTGCACAAATACCAGCTGCCTATACCAGATGGCCAATTATCAATACCCACATAATGAAGAGTGTTTAAAAGAATTTACAGGGACTTCCCTGGTGGTCCAGTGGGTAAGACTTGGCACTCCCAGTGCAGGGGGCCCGGGTTTGATCCCTGGTCAGGGAACTAGATCCCACGTGCATGCCGCAAATAAGACCCCGGTGCAGCCAAAAATAATTATTAAAAAAAAAAAAAAAGAATTTACTGTACTCCATTTTAGAAATGTTAACAGGTATCAAGGTATTTAATATAATCTCAATGAACTCAAGTTTAACTAAAGTGCTTCCTCAGACAAATAATCCCTTTGCACTTCACTTTTAAGACAAAAGAACCCACAAGTCAAAATCCTAATTTTAGCATTTTATGTAAAATAACCTATACAAGAGGGACTTCCCTGGTGGCGCAGTGGTTAAGACTCTGTGCTCCCAATGCAGGGGGCCCAGGTTGAATCCCTGGTCAGGGAACTAGATCCCACATGCATGCCACAACTAAGAGTTCACATGCCACAACTAAGGAGCCCACCTGCTGCAACTAAGGAGCCAGTGAGCCACAACTAAGAAGCCAGCGAGCCGCAACTAAGGAGCCCGTGTGCCACAACTAAGACCCAGTGCAACCAAATAAATATTTTTTAAAAAATTAAATAATAAAATAAAATAAAATAACCTACAAGAGGA